GCTTTTTGTTTGTTTTTGACACAGGGTGTCACTAAATAACCCAGACTGTTCTGGAATTGTGGCAATCCTCCTGTCCTGAATGCTGGGATCACAGACCTGGCTTCCCTTACTTTAAAAAAAGAAAGTTGAATGGGGTGTAGCTCATGGTACAGCACTTGCCTGGCAGCGGAAAGCCTCGGGTTTATCCCAGCACCACCAAGATGGACAGAAAGACAGGTGAATTCCTACATATGTACATGATAGATACATGTATGGATACACACATACAAAGATATATGTATGGATATATACATACATATATGAATAGATACATACATGGATACATAGGTAGAGAGATAAATACGTACATACAAACATATGTTCATATATACATACATGCATACATACTGCTCTTGCAGAGGACCTGGTTTGGATTCCCAGCACCCACATGTTACCTCACAATTGTCTATATTTCCAGTTCCAGGGGATCCAACACCTTATTCTGGTCTCTTTGAGCACTGTACACATGTGCACATATGTATATGCAGGCAAAATGATCAAACACATAAAACAACAAAAGATGGATATCAGTGTCATTCTCTACCTCAAGAAATGGGCTTTGGGGTGTTTGTTTGTTTGGAGACAGCTTGGTTGTGTATTAAAGGCTCAAACTCAGAGGGGTCTTCCTGCTTCTGCTCCTCTCTCCCAAGTCCGTGCTGTAATTACAGGCATGTGCACTATGCCTGGTCTAGAAATGTGTGTGGGGGCAGGGGAACACTCTTGAGCTAGTTCAAATGAGAAAATGAGATGATGCTGCACACACAAATTTTTTTTTTTTTTTGGAGCCTGTCCTCTTGTAGACCAGGCTGTCCTTGAACTCACAGAGATCCGTTTGCCTCTGCCTCCCTAGTGCTGGGATTAAAGGTGTGGGATTAAATGGTCTTTTTAAAAATATATATTTATTTATTATTTATACAGTATCTTGCCTGCATGTATGTCTACACGCCAGAAGAGGGCACCAGATCTCATTATAGATGGTTGTGAGCCACTTTGTGGTTGTCGGAAGTTGAACTCAGGACCTCTGGAAGAGCAGCCAGTGCTCTTGACCACTGAGTCATCTCTCCAGTCTGATACAAATGGTCTTAAGGAGTTAAAGTTAGTGAAAGAAAGAAATCTGGGCTGAAGAGAGGGCTCAGCAGTTATAAGCACTTGCCCTAGTAGGGGTTTGATTCCTGAACCCAATTGGTGGACCCCAACTGTCTGTAACCCCAGTTCCATCCTCACAATAAAGTGGATAAAAATAGATATGTAATTAAAAACATAAGTGGGTATGATAGTGCACACTGTTAGTTCCAGCACTGGAAAAGCAGAAGCAGGCAGATCTCTGTGAGTTCTAGGCCAGCCTGGTCTACAGAGGTAGTTCCAGGGTAGCCAGGGCTAGACAAAGAAGCCCTGTCTCAAAAAGCCAATAATAACAATAATAAAATAGAAATTTAGAATGTTAAAAAGCATGATACTATGGTAATGGGTCTCTCAAACCTGGTACAATGTTTAAATTCTTCTTTTGTCCTCCATAGAACACATGGGTCTTCCACTTAAGCTATTGAGACAATATTCAGAACAACAGAAGGGGTTTTTATTCTCGCTCACCAGAATTCTCCCTCTTCCTCCCAGAAGCTCTCTCAAACTTACCTTGAATGCACGTTCCCTCCCAAACTCTACCCAGGATCTGCAACATCTCTGCAGGTCCAGAATGGGGTAGAACCTAGACTTGGCCAGCCATCAGGACAGTGACGGTTCAGGCCTGACCCAAGTTCACCCAAAGGGATTCACCCTGCTAGAGTTTAACTGGAGCACCCCGCAGCGCGCCGGGGGCCCCCCCCCCCCGGGGGGGCGCTGTGAGAAGGTGCACCATTTCCTGCTGTGTGTAGAACCCGTGAGGTGTAGGGTACCAGAAGGCAGCAGAGCCCCCTCAGCTACATAACAAGTTTAGGGCCACCTTGGCCTAAACGAGATTTTTGACTAAAACAAACAACAACAAAACCAAACAAACAGAAGACAGTAGCTGAGGAGATAGCTTGGTAAGTAAAGTTCGATCCTCAGTACCCATGTAAAAAGCAGCATGAGGAGATTCTGCATGAATTTCACTGCAGCAAGATGTCAATGGATCCCTGCAGCTCACTGGCCAGCCAGTCTAGCTGAACAGGTGGGCACCAGGTTCAATGAGAGACCCTGTCTCAAAAAATAGGATGGAGCATATTCAACTAAGATGTTTTAAGTCTCCCTTTGGTCTGTGAAAGTGCTTGCCTGTGAACACATGTATACAGCAGACACACACAATTTTTTTTAAAGATCTATTTATTTATATATTTATTATGTATACAGTATTCTCAGTATGTATGCTGCAGGCCAGAAGAGGGCACCAGACCTCCTTACAGATGGTTGTGAGCCACCATGTGGTTGCTGGGAATTGAACTCAGGACCTTTGGAAGAGCAGGCAGTGCTCTTAACCACTGAACTATCTCTCCAGTCCACACACAATTATTATAACGATAGAAACAAACAACTAAGCGAGACACCCAAGGATCTTTTTTGTTATTGTTGCTTGTTTATCTTTGTTTGGTTTGGTTTTAGAGACAGGGTCTCTCTATGTAACAGTCCAGGCTGTTCTGGAACCCTCTCTGTAGACCAGGCTGGTCTTGAGCTCAGAAATTCACCTGCCTCTGCCTTGGTGCTGGGATTAAAGGAGTGCTCCACCAACCTCTAGCATAAAAATGTTCTTTTGGCTTCTATGACAAAACCAAGGATAGCAGAAGGTGACAGCAATTTATTTCTGACATTACTCTCCAAGTGACAGCAATCCACACAACAGCTGTTCAATTCCAGGGGCCCAGGTGCCTTCCCATTTGTTGCTCAGTTACTCAGAGGATGTGACTACTCAACCAGACCGGTTATCTCATGTCTTCATTCTAACCAGCAGAAAGCAGGAAATGTGGAAGGGGAAGATTCACCCCTCCCATTTAAGAGTAGCCCTCGGAATTGGCCAGCTTCCCTTCATCGTATCTCTCATTGGCCAAGAATTAATCATGTGACCATATTTGCTACAGGAGAGTCAGGCAAAGCAGCTTTTGTTGTACATCAGTGGCAGAGCAATGCCCACCACGTACAAGGCCTGGGGTTTGAGCCCTAACACAGGAAAAGTGTTCATGTTGCTTTGACATAGGGTCTCTTATGTAACTTGGGTCGGCCTTTAGTCCATCTTCCTTCACCTTTGGCTTTCTGTGTGCTAGAGCGGCAAGCACATCTGCGGCTTTTACTTTGAGTGGCTGAAGATCAGTGGCTTTAGTTCCACACGAGGTGAGTGAATTTGAGGGAGAACAGACAGTCTTATTCTCAGAGCAAATCAGAGTTGCCTCCATGTGAGTGCCAAGCGCTGAGGGAGTGGTGAGCCTCCTTGAGGGTGCTGGGAATAGAACCCAGATCCTTAGCAAGAAGAAGTGCTCTTAACCACTGAGTGATTTCTCCAGCCCCGTATTGGATTTTTCTTTCTCTTCTTCTCTCTCTCTCCCGTTGTTTTTTCAAGGCAATGTTTCTCTGTGTATTCTGGTTGTCCTGGAATGTGCTCTGTAGACGACCAGGCTAACCTGATCTCAGAGATCCTCCTGCCTCTGCCTCATGAATGCTACTACTACTGCCTCACCCTTATTGGACTTTTCAATACAGGAGATATCAATTTCTTTTTGGCAAGTGCCTATTTCACTAGGATTTATGGGTGTATATTATGTGTGTGCGTGCTCACTCATGCACACTCCCATGGAGGCCAGAGGTTGGTACCAGATATCTATCATTCTCTACCTTACTTTAAAAATATTTACTTATTACTCTTCTGTGTGTGTATAAGATGTGTGTTGGCAGCTGGGCGGTGGTGGCGCACGCCTCTCATCCCAGCACTCAGGAGGCAGAGGCAAGTGATCTCAGTGAGTTTGAGGCCAATCTGGTCTACAGAGTGGGCTCTAGGACAGCCAGGACTGTTACACACAGAAATCCTGTCTTGGAATGTGTGTTGGGAGCACATGTCTTGATGCACACACACAGGTCAGAAGACCCATTTGTGGAATTCGTTCTCTCCTTCCACCTTTACATAGATCCTGGGATTGGACTCAGGTCGGCGGGCTTGCCTCACAAACACCTTTACCCACAGAGTCATCTTGATGGCCCTCAGCATTATTGAGACAGGGTCTCACGTGAATGATGGCTAGGGAACCCCTGGGACCTGTCTCTCTCCACTGCTAGATTGGGATCACAGACATACCCCACCATGCCCTGCTGTTTATGTGGGTGCTGGGGATCTGAACTGAGGTTTCCTCACTAAGGCATTGTACTGACCCCTTGAAAATGGAAGAACATGGTGAGACCTAGAGCCCCTTCCTGTTGAGGTCTAGTTTACAGCAGAAGCTCAGAAGCCAGCGTGCTGCTGCTGCTGCTGTTGCTGCTGTTACTGTTTTGAGGTTACCACCAAGCTCACTTCATCTATACTCTCTCTTTGCTTATTTGAGACAGGGAATGATGTCACAGGCTGGTCTGGAACTCCCACTACAGCTGAAAATGACCTTGGACTCGAGATCCTCCTACCTCCACAGTGCTAGGGTAACAGCCATTCACTGCCATGCCCAGTTTCTTGCTGCCTGTATTTGCAAGGGATGACAAGCTCCTGCCCCCCTCCCACATCGCCACTCGCAATGGAGAGGCAGGGTCGCACCTTCTGAAAGCGAGAGGGAGAAAACCCTGAACTCTCGTGAGGATTTTTTTCAACCTTTTCTTAGTTTTGTTTTTTAAAAATGAAGTTTCATGATGTAGCCCAGGTTTGCCTTCAGTTCACTGTGGAGCCAAAGACGACAAACTCCTGATTCTCCCACCTGCACCTCCCGAGCATGGGAATTATGGGCATGTGGCCACAGGCTGGATATACTCAGGGCTGGGTCTCAAAACCCTGCTTACCGCGTGTCAGGATCCAACTTAACTACACTCCATAGGACTTTTTATTTTGGGTAGTGCTGGAAGCATTCAGGGTCTAGGGCATGCTGGGCAAATGCCCTGCCACTAAGCTAAGCTCTCAGCTCTTAAAGATCTTGATTTTTCTGAGTTCTACCCTTTTCTCATACATCCATATTTTTAGAATAATGGCCAAGTGCCCAGGAAGTCAGAGAGATGGTGCCTGATGGGCTATTGCTGAGGAGTCCCCAGGATATGGAGCAAGAGGGCTTCCACCAGGGGATGGGAGCTCTTCAGGAAATGAACCCCTGCTTTGATGGTGGTGGAAGCCAGGTACCATGCTGTTCATGGTGCCTGTGCCCCAGAGTGAGGTGAGTGCTGCTTCAGGTTGGGGAGGCTGAAGGTGTATGCCGTGTCCCCTCTTTCCGACGCAACAAGAAGTCGCCAGGGGCAGTTGGGTTCATTGCATAGAAGACGTTGGCACTGTCCGGAATCAGGAGCTCTGCATGGAAATGGGGAGCACGGTGGGCGGCCTGCCAAGTCTGGGTGCTCCTATCATCCTATCATCCTGATGACGTCCCCCACAGCCCAACCTCTCCCAAACCCCTGCCCAGCCAAGCTCGGTCTACGGTGACAATGAACTCAGATGACTGTCACCGCTCTTCCTCTTCAGCCAGTTAAGCTAAGGGCCTTCACACACAACGCTTGAACAACCTGTGATTGTGGGTGGTGATGGTTGGGACTGGGATGTTCCTCATGGTCTTGGGTGTTTGAATACTTGGTCCACATGTGGTAGCATTGTGTGGCGTGATCAGCAGCCTGGAGCTTCCTTCCTCCCTTCAGCTGCTGTCTGGGGTTTTCTCACAGCAGTGAGCACAGCAGTAAGCAAGCTGCCCCTGCTTACCTCTGTCTCCAGGCAGGACCTGGAAGAGCTGGTAGTCACGGGCCCAGGGCTGAGGCACGTTGTGCTTCTCCAGGGCTCTCTGCACCACACTGGGGACTTTGTCCTGACAAGTGAGCTGGAAAAGAAAGACAGAAACAGACCAGTGAGATGGTTCAGCAGGTAAAGACTACTCCAAGAGACAACCAGAGTTCAATCCTTGACACCTGCAGGGTAGAAGGAGAGAACCAATTCCTGCAAGTTGTCATCTGACCTACACACACACACACACACGTGTGTGTGTGTGTGTGTGTGTGTGTGTGTGTGTGTGTGTTTAAAACTTTTAAAAGAGAGGCAGGTGGTAAGGGGACAGGATTCCAGAACTAAGAACAAGGCTGACCCCTCCTCGTCTCTTACCAAGATGCTCCGATACAAGTTCCCATGGTTATTGTCGATGCTGACTCGGATGACACGGGCCTCTGAGGTCTGCTGCCCAAGGAGAGGAATTCGCGGGCTGCTCAGGGTCAAGGTTGTGGAGGAGTCCATGTTCAGAGATGGCTGTAGGCAGTGTGGAGTTGGCAAGGTTGTGGCCTTGCTCATCTGTGTGATGAAGACCACGAGGTTCCTTCCCCACTATATTCACTCAGCTGATGAACACACACAACTCCCCCAGAGTCCTCACACCCCTTTCCTCCTACATGAGAGACTGGGGACCACACAGGGTACACACACAAGACTGAGTATATGTCATCCCCTCACACACAGATTCCAGTTCCCTGTTACAGAAACAGATGGACACATGACCCATAGACACACAAAGCCAAGTTCACAGCAGGCTCCAGAGTAGACGGCACATAATGTACAGTTGGAAAGCCACAACACACCACCAGTGAGCAATGCCATGCATAGTCCTGTGGATATTTGGGCCATTTCCCTGTCAGGTATGCAAACTTTTAGGCTTGCATATCCTTGTAGAAGTGAGTGAGTGACAGCTAGAGCTGGTGGCACAGAACTGTCATCTCAGCTACTGGAAAGTTTGAGGTATGAGGATCACAAGTTCAAGGCTAGCTTCGGCAACCTAGTAAGACCCTGTCTCAAGACAAAAAGTAATAAAAGTGTTGGGAGCATAGCAATTCGTCAGTGACTTAGAGTCTGCCAGTGAGGAGCTGGGATATGGCTCAGCGGTTGAGCCCCTGTCTAGAAAGAATCTCCTGTAAGGGACTGGGAACAGGGCTCAGTAGTGGAGCCCTTGAAAGGTTTTAGGTCCAATCCCAGTACTTTGTGTTTTGCTTTGTTTTTTGATTTGTTTTTGTCACTGTTGTTGAGACATGATATCATGGGACCCAAGCTTATTATGTAGCCAAGAATGGCTTTGAACTTCTGGTCCTCTTGCCTCCATCTCCCAAGAACTTGGATTACAGGCCTGCACCACCACACTTGGCTGGAGTATTGTTTATTAAGGGAAAAAAGTATGGGGATTACACCTGGCGTGCCCTACAGCTAGGTGGAAGTCCAATCAGACAGGAGGAGCCAGATGGTAGGTCACGACTCATATGGCCATGCGGTCTCCCAGAGAAAGCAGCAGAGGGCAGCCAGCCTCTGCGACACATCCCTGCAGTGCTGCATACACACACCACACTCACACACATGCATGTACACACACAGATACTGAACCCTGTGCCCCAGTCCTCACCATAACCACGGATTATCGTGATACCTTGTTGCTGGAGCTCTGGGGTCCTGGGGAAGCTGGAGGACTACCGGGAGGAGGTTCTCGGTTTCTAGGACTGGAAGGGGGGGACCCTGGAGACACACTGCTGAAAACACAGAACTCAAGGTGGGAGGGCTGGCCGGACTTTTGGTCCTGATGTCGCCAGTCCCTTTTGGCCTGCCTACTCACCTGGAGGTTGGTGAGGACGGGTCCCCGGGACTCTCACTAGGGGAAGAGTTCTTCTCCCGGGACAACTTCCTAGGGTGAGGAGAAGGGGAGGTTTAGCTCTGAAACTGGACGCCCCTGTCCAACGCCCCCCACACCCCCTGTCTCTACCCCCACGGCTTCCACCGCACACGTCCTGACACTCACGCACTGAGACGCTTTGTGAGGCTGATTCGCCGCCGGATACGTGGGGAGCTGGGACAGGAGGCAGCTGGTGGCTCAATGACACGGGAGAGCCGGTAGCTGGAGAGGTTCAGCATGTGGGTGGCGAGGGGACAGGAAACAGAGGAAGGATCAAGAGGTAAGAGTTAGTGTGAATTGTCAGTCAAGTACAGAGTGGGGAGAGAAGAAGGGGTGAGGTGTCAGGTTAGGATAGAAACGAGATTCACTGGGGTACCAGGGTGTATTACAGATGGGGTGAACTGTTGGTTAGTGGGGTGCACAGCACTTACAGGGTGAGATTAGCTGGGGTGTGGCTCACACATAGAGTGCTGCAGAGAATCCCTTAGTGAGAGGCTGGCGTCATGGCTCAGTGGTAGAGCCCCTGCCTAGAATCCCCAGTGAGGGGCTGAGGCTGTGGTTGAGGGGTAGAACCCCTGCCTAGAATCCCTTAATGAGAGGTTGGAGCCATAGCTGAGGGGTAGAGTCCCTGCCTAGAATCCCCAGTGAGGGGCTGAGGCTGTGGTTGAGGGGTAGAGTCCCTGCCTAGAATCCCCAGTGAGGGGCTGAGGCTGTGGTTGAGGGGTAGAGCCCCTGCCTAGAATTCCCAGTGAGGGGCTGGGGCCATGGCTGAGGGGTAGAGCACAGACTTAGTGTGTATGAGGCATTAACACTACAAATGCAAAACAAAACAGAAACCACAGGGTGAACTGAGGAGTCAATTGGGTCAACGTTAAAGTTCAGGGTCAGGTAATTTAGGGGATCAACAGTGCACGGCATGCATTGAACGGAATGAAAGGAAGCAATAGGGCTACTTGAGTTGGGTGGCCAAATGGACACTAAAGTCAGCGTCACTGAGGATGATGATCAGGGCCACAGATTTGGATGACAGGATCAGAAGTCTACAGGGAGACAGGTGGGGCGTTCAAGTTGATTGACTGATGGACATGAAGGGTTGAAATCAGAGTATAGGATGGGCTCAAATTTTGGGTTGGAGGTGGGTAGTGACCTTCAGATGGAGAGAATAAAGGGTACAGGGTGGGGCTGTCCTCGGGATGGTCTGGGAAGCTTCTGGAAGGGGAGGAAAGGTGGATTGTATGTGAAGTAGACTTGGTGGGTTGGTTACCTCTGCTCCTCACTCAGCTGGCGTTGGGCTCGAAGGGCAGCCAGGATTGGTGGGTGGGGGCTCAGGCTGTAGAGTTGGCAGCGATGCTGTAGCTGCTGGATTCGGGCCAGGATCTCCCATTCCTGAGGGGGTGTCTACTGAGACCCTGCCCCACCCTGTTTCCCCACCCTGGGGCATCCCACCCACCCAAGTACCCACCTACTCACCTTCCTCCTCTTCTCAAAGTTGATGAGATTTCCCTGAGGGGGCAAAACTGGCCTGAGCTACAGCATCCAGGGTCAAGGGTCAAAAGTCATGATCAAAAGCTAGGATGATGTGAGCCACCGTGGTATGTGAATGGAGGAGATGGGTACAAGACAGGATCAAAGGTGATGTGTTGGGGGTAATAGAGCACGGGTCAAGAATCAAAGGTAAGGGTCAAACCTTCAACATATCCGGTAAGGCTGTATCCAGCATAATCAAGTCTGTGAGAAAGGTGCCAAGGTAGGGGACAGGACCTGGAGACAGTTTCTGCAACCCCAAAACTTCAGTTACTCATCGGCGTCACTGACCCAGGCCCCTCTCCAAGAGTCCCCTTTGTTACTCCCATCTCCATCCTGAAGCCTATCACTTACTGATGGCAAACTTCCTGGGAGGCAGTCGTCACCATGGGGGCCCTCAGTGGTCTCCTCCTGGGAAGGAAGAGACTAAAGGAATCTGAGGCTCACTTTGACACTTCTCACAGAGACCACTCTGAGACTCGCACATATACCACACTGCCTTCCCAGACCTCTATCTGGGGGGTGGTAAGATGGCTCAGCAGGGAGAGGACCCACCCGGTCAGCACTGGGCTGACTTTGTGGCGTGAGCCTTCTCCTATACTCAGAGAAATCGGTGTAATTTAATGTTTGTTTGTTTCTTTAATCACAAGCGGGGGTGGGAGCTGGGGCTGTAGTTGGAACTGTTGGGTTCCATCCCAAGTATTACATAGACTGACTGTGGCAGCATTCTCCTGTCAGCCCAACACTCAAGATAGAGGCAGGAAGATCAGGTGCTCAGGGCATCCTTATCCTACAGGAGACCCTGTCTAAAAACAAAAGAACATCACAAATGAATTGTTAGTGCCAAACAGGGTGTGGAGTACCCTGGGGACAGAGAAAGCCTGAACTCGGGGAGTTCTGGAGCAAGTTGTGCACTCCAGAGTGGATGGGAAGAAAACGTCTGTTCCCAGTTTGCTTAGAACAGGCTGACTGGGGAACCTCTGGAAGGACCCTGGGCTCACTTCTGGGCATTATTCAGACAGACAGCAAGAAGGTCTGTTCTGTCCTCATTTGGGCTGACGTCTCCTACAGGAACAATTATGTGTTTGGTTCTCGGAGGGTCAGGACAATGCCTGGCACACAGTAGCTTTGCTTTTTGCCCATCGAGTCTTCCTCATTTGAGATACATCTTCACTGGGAAGGTTTTTAAATTTTGTTTGGCTGTTTTGTGTGTATATGAGTATGGGTATGTGTAGATGTGTGCGCAGTGCCTCAGGAGGCCAGAAGAGGGCATCAGATCCCCTAGAGCTGAGTTGGAAGTGATTGTGAGCTGTGTGGATGAAACACTGAACCCGAACTCTGACCCTCTCAGAGTGCAAGTGCTCTTGACCACCAACCACCTCTCTGGTTCCCCTGATGTTTGTTGTTTGTTTGTTTTGAGATAAGGGCTCACTGTAGCCCAGGCTGGCCTCAAGGTCTCTTTGTGGCATAGAGTGACCTTGAACTCCTGCTCTTCCTGCCTTTGCCTCCTGAGTGCTGGGGTGACAGGTGCATACAACCTCACCCTTTTATACAGTGCTAGAGATGGAACCCAGGGTTTCATCGTGTTAGTTATGTAAACCTCTACCAACCGAATCCAGCTCCAGCCCCTCATGGTATTTATTGAATATTTACTGTGTTGTCATGTACTATTTTGGGTAACAATTAGCCAGGGGTGAACAAATGAGACAAAATGGCCGAGATAGCCAAGATAACTCATAAGAGGGAAGGCAGCAACAAGGGCCATCAGGTGGGTAAGGGCTATGAGGTGGGGAGGGGAGTGTGGTGATGGTGGGGAGGGGAGTGGAGAGGTGGACAGGGGAGTGTGGAGATGGTGGGGAAGGGAGTGGGGAGGGGAGTGCGGAGATGGTGGGGGAGTGTAGAGATGGGGAGGGGAATGTGGAGATGGTGGTGAGGTATTTTTGAAGGCAGAGGCCTTTAGAAGAGACCTGAAGTGGGCATAGCACACACCCATCTTGAGGGGTATCAAATGTTCCAGATCCAGGAATCAGGCTCCATGCTTATCTCTACGGAATTCACACTGAGGGTGAGCACTCAATTCTAATCAGAACTTTACTTTTGCTGGCCCGCATTTGAAAAACCCCTATCAAGGTAAATTCCTAGAACATGGTTCCTCCTCCCTAGGCCCCTTAGGAAAGCGTTTTCTCTGACTTTCTTGCATTTTGCTGAATGAATAAATAAGGCTGATGTTGGCTGTGAGTGAGAGAGAAAGCAAGCTGGAGACAGAAGCTGGAGTTGGCTTTGCAGCAGATCCCTGAAGGAAGGATGTTTCGAGGATACGATGCTTCCCTGAAAAAGACTCCAAGTCCCTTTAGCCCTGGCTGTCCTGGAACTCACTCTGTAGACCAGGCTGCCTCAGTCTCCCAAGTGCTGAGATTGAAGTGTGTGTCACCGGGCCCTGCTTTTTAAAAATTTTGTTTACTTTTTGTTTTGTTTTGAGACAAGGTTTTTTTGGAGTTCAGGATAGCCTTGGACTCACTTTGTAGCTGAAACTGATCTTCAACACCCTGTCCTCCACCTCTCAAGTGCTGGCATGAGAGGCTACACCCCATGACTGACTTACATGGGTTCACATGTGTGACTAAGTCACATTCTGAGCCCCTTGTTTTGGTTTGTGTGTGTGTGTGTGTGTGTGTAAATATGTTTGTGAATGGATGCATGTGTATGTTTGTGTGTGTGTGTGTGTGTGTTAGACCAGAGGTCAACACCAAGCATCCTGGGACTGGAGAGATGGCTCAGTGGTTAAGAGCACTTGTTCTTGAAAATGACCAGGATGATTTCCAGCATCCACATTCATAACCATTTATAACTGCAGTTCTAGGAGATCTGACTCCCACTTTTGATCTCTGTAGACCCTCACGCATGTTCACAACACAACAAATACATATAGGCAAACACTTATAAAGTAAAGTAAAAAAAAAAAAACAAATATCAAGTGTTTCCTGTATTGATTTCCTCTGTATTATTTATAACCTGGAGCTTGATGCTTTGGGCTAGATTGTCTATCTAGAGACCCCGTCCACCTCTCCCTCGCTGCTGGGATTACAGAGGTCTCCCATTCAGCCTTTATGTGGCTGCTGGTTTCTGCGCTCAGAGGCGCATGCCTGTGCAGAAGACACTTCACAGACTGAGCCATCTCCCCATCTCCATACTTTCTGAGTGTTGTTGCTGTTGTTGTTGGGGTTTTGTTTGTTTGTTTTTCAAGACAGGATTTCTCTGTGTAGCTTTGGAGCCTGCCCTGGAGCTTGCTTTGTAGACCAGGCTGGCCTCAAACTCACAGTGTGCCCCCTGCCTCAGCCTTCCAAGTGTTGGGGTTTCAAGCATGAGCCACCGCACTTTCTTGATTTGGGGGTACTCAATACCTGGGAAAGAATTGCTCGGCAGCTGAGATGATTATTCTCATCAGAAAAAATCTGCGACAGTTTCTTGAAAGTGGACAGTGGTTCCCTGCGGAGTGAGAGAGGAGCGATCAGGTCAGCAGAGGGAACAGTCAGCGCCAGGGCGGGGTTACTGCGTGGGGCACCCAACTCACCGGCTCACAGATCCCCAGCTGCGCTTGAGCCTGTAGATGGGGTTAGACTGCAGCGCCGACAGGATGGCTCGCAATGAAGAGAAATTGCGAAGTTCCCTACAGCGCTGGGAGTAAGTGGGCGGCTCTGGTCAGCGGTCACACTCCACTTCCGCCTCCCAGGCACAGCTCCTTCGATAGCTGTGTCCTGCTGCCTTTGTTTTGTTTTTAAAGACAACTTCTGGTTCCAGAGCCAACGCTGATCTTTCTGCCTCCACCTCCCCAATGCTGGGACTACAGGCACATGCCACTACACCCGACTTGAGGTTGGGCTTTCTAATACCAGGTCAGACCCCAGGCCTCACCTGTTGAGTGGCTAAGCAGGTAAACAGGACATGCTCCCTTTCTCCAACGAGCCCCTTCCTCAGCTCTTAACCCCCCCCTGGCTCTCCCATCTATCCCTTACTTCTCTCTAGTTCCTCAGTTCTTACACGTGCCCACAGCCTTTCAACTGGATCCAGGATCATCTTTTCCCCCTTACTCCTTTAGGCACCCCATACTCCTGATCTCGTGTCCCCCCCCCCCCCCGATTCCCCACTGCAATCCCATTGTTTCAACACACCCACTTCCAGTCTAATCCTCAACTTCAGCAAACTGGTTTCCGGTCGCACCCTAGGCCAGCTGCTGGACCCCGCCCCAGTCCCATCTTGATGCACACCTGGGCGATGCGGATCCACTTTTCGATGCGCTGTGCCCTCTGGGAGGCTGCCAGGCCAGGCGCTGCGAGCACCGAGCCCAGCACGCAGCCAGTAACCGCATTGAACTGGGCCACGGTGGCACGCACTGTGGGAGAAATGCCTGCAGCTCCTGGCCGGTCACGCTGAGACCACATAGATCCCAGGCATTCGCAGGTACGCACGCGCAAGAAGAGCTCCTGCGTAGGAGAGAAGAGGGTAAGATGGGTAGGTGCTCATCAGTACAGGCCGCCCCCCGCCCTCCCACCCTGCCGCTGACTGGGGTTCCCACCACGTCCATAAGGGTCAGCTGCTCCGCCACCTCATCCACGCTGAAGTCCAGGAGCTCAGGGCCTTCAGAACTGGGCCCTTCGTCTTCCTCTAAGTCCTCTGAGAATTCTGATCTGGGAGACTGGGTCCTGGGAGGGCCTGGGGAAGAGATACTGTGTTTAAAACTCACATTGGGCTGAGAGGATGGCTCCGCAGTTAGGAGCACTTTCGGCTCCTCCAAAGGACAGAGGTTGGATTCCCAGCACCCACACGGTAGCTAACAACTCTGTACCTCTATGTACCTCCGGTCTCAGGGGACCTACAGGATCTACAAGATGCCTCTGTGGATATCATGCACACATGTGATGCACTGACAAACATGCAGGCAAAATACACACACACAGAGAGATATACATAAAAGTAAAGGCCGGATGGTGGTGGCGCACGCCTTTAATCTCAGCAGCAGCCTAGATTGCCTGTGGGACCTTAGGCAAGTGCCTCTGTCTCTGAGTCTCACCTCACCTGTGAACACCCTGAGTGTTTGGTTTTTTATTTACGTAATTAATTTTATGTGTGTTTTTGGGTCCGCAAGTGCCAGCGTTTATGTACAGAGGTCAGAGGACTATAGGAGTTGGTTCTCTCCTTCCACCCTGAAGGTTCCAAGAATCTAACCCAAGGGGCCAGGTCTGGCAACAAGTGCTTTTACCTGGTGGAGCCATCTCAACAGCCCACCCTGAGTGGTTTTGTTGTTAGTTTTGTTTTTAGGAGGAGGTTTTCTACACCCGCAGGCTGGTCATCTTCCTGCCACAGCTGGGATCACAAGAATATGCCACCACACAACACCGTGTTCTTCTGTTTTCTTTATTCTGTGACATCCCCCTTTCCTTGCCTCTGATGGACGACATTGGTGGGGGGGGGCATTTGCAAGGGGATTGCCATGAGTTTGAAGCCGACCTCAGCTATATAGTTTCAGGCTAGCTTGGGCTACAGAGTGAGACTCCATCTCAAAGTGGGGTGGTAGCGGGTGGGTGTGGCGTTGCTGAGATGGCTCTGTGGTTAAAGGAGATTGCTGACAAAGCCAAAGACCCAAAACCGGTGCCATGTAATAGAAGGAGAGTACCAACTCCCCAAAGCTGTCTTCTGACCTAGACACACCACACACACACACACACACACACACACACACAAGCACGCGCGCACGCACACACATACACTGTGACATATGTCCCATACATGAAAATAAACGAATAAATGTTAAAAAAATAAAAATAAAAACAGAGTCTGGGAGATGGCTCAGAGATTAAGACAATACAGTATTTCTCCAGAAGACTGGAGGATAGGTCCAAGCAGTCATGTCAGGCAGCTCACAACTGCTTCTAACTCCAGCTCCAAGAAATTCAAAATCTCCGGCCTCCACAGGCACCTGGACTCATGTGTGTCATCCCTCACATATATATAATTAAAATTAAATCTTAAAAAGTAAAATAAAAACATAGCCTCTGATTCTATCTAAATGTGGTGGTGAGCACCTGTTACCCCAGAGGAGCGAGATTGAAAACCTGAGGTCAGTGGAATCTTCAGAGTGGGTTCAGACACACACAGCTATACCCAATAAACAAAGGAAAAACCCCAGAAAGCCAAGCCCCAAGCCCCAAGTGTTAGTGATTCAGTGGCAGAACAGGGGTGAGGCCCTAGGTCAGTCCCTAGTCATTCACACACAAAGGGTTCCCTCCTGATGGCCACATGGCGGAGGGAGAGAACTGACTCCCACACTCGCTCAGTCGTCCACCACAGAATAAAGAAAATAAATGCAACAAAAGATTTAAAATTTGATGGCAGGAAAGGAAACTTCTCGGTAATCAATTAAGCAGAGAAAAAAACATGGCCAGTGGGCATAGCCAAGTAGCTGCTCCCCTCAAAAGCTGGAAGTGGCCACTTGAGCTCAGGGTTGGCGTGATTAAAGGATGAGGATTAGGGACACAGCATCGGATGAGCTCAAACACGGCTGGGAGGATGATTCTGTATAAGCGGAGTACAATTATTTCGTTAGCTAATCCTAATTGTCCTGCTCATGGGGACAAAGCCAATAGCATCCTTCGCTCCTGTGCTCACGGGATGCAGGGAAGCCAGGAATCAACCGCAAATAGTCTGCAGAAAAACAAGGCAGCCTTAGAGGCATTGGACAGACAGGAGAGGCGTTCTCAAGAGGAGTGAAATTTCTTTCTTTCGGGTTTGGTGCCTTTAATTCCAGCACTCAGGAAGCAGAGACAGGAGGCTCTCTATGAATTCAAGACCAGCTCAGGCTACATAGCAAGTTCCAGGCCAGCCTGGGCTACACAGTGAGATGAGACACTGTCTCAAAAAACCCAAAACAAAACTCAATATTTCATTTAGATTCATTGAGACGGCTTATTGGCACATGTGGTCCACTCTCACCACTGCCAAAAAATACATAAAATGTAAATAAATAATGAACAAATGAATAAAAACTACACGCATCTATGGTGCATATGCAAATTTCAGGAGCCTGTTCTCTCCTATTACGTGAGTCTCAGAGACCAAACTCAGACTATCAGGACTGTCTGCAAGCCCCTTTATCTGTTGAGCCCTCTCACCTGCCCCAGAAGTGACATTTCAAGGAGACCTGAGTGAGATTTTCATTTTTTTCTCCATCCTCAGCTTCTTTTGTTTCCAGACAGGGTCTCACCATGTAGCCCTGGGTGGCGTGGAGGTCACTGTATAGAACTGGTGGCTTCCAGAGCACCAGTTTTTCTGTAGTGTTGGCTGGTACCTTAGTGCTCACAATAAGGTGTCAACTGATGTGTGGCACCCCCCACTCCACCACCCCTGGTAGATACCTAAAAGGTTAGATTCCGTGGGAAAACTGCCTCGATTGTACAGAGCTAGGTTCCAGTTTCTGGCAACATAAATACATGAATAAATAAATAAAGATTAAAAAACAAAACAAAAAAGGAAACATCTGGGTGGTGGTGGTAGCCTTTCATTCTAGCACTTGGGAGGCAGAGGCAAGCGTATTCTGAGTTCGAGGCCAGCCTGGTCTACAGATTGAGTTCCAGGACAGCCAGGGCTACATAGAGAAACCCAATTTTGATAAACAGAAAAACAAACACCAAAACCAGGAGACAAACACTATTACTAGGCGGGTGGCAGACACACGTGATCTAACACTCCAGGGAAGGAACTGGGGATAAAACTCAATGGGCAGAGTGCTGCCTCACACGGAGGAGGCCCTGAGTTCAATCCCTTGCTCTGTGTAAACCACACACCTGTCCAAGGTCACCCTCTGCTATTCAGGGCTGTGGTCAGTGTGGGGTATATAGCAAGACCCTATCTCAAAAAGTAAAACAAAACTATGGCCACAATTACCTGGAACTCCAGTTCCAGGGGATCAGAGATCTTCTTTTGACTTACGCTGACTGGCACTGCATGCACATGGTGCATTTAATGCAGGAAAAGCACTCAAACACATACAGTTATAAACAGACAAATTAAAAAACAAAGCAAAGAGACTACAACAGTAACAGAAATAATACTCAGCACTGGGGAGATAGAGGCAGGAATACCAGAAGTTCAAGATTATCCTTGGCTACATATTAAAGATAGCCTGGACTACCTGAGATCCTGTCTTGTAAAATAAAAACAACACATAATAATAATATGATTGGTCAGATGGCCCAGCCATTACGAACATGGAACACATATGATGGTAAAAGGAGTGAAGCACTCTGTGGCATGTAGGGACCCAGACACATGTGTCAGTCACACAGTAGCAATGAATACAAATTAAACAAAATCCCAAGACACTTGGCCATCCTTGCTGCATACTGATTTTCTGTGTGTGTTGAATGTCCTTTCGAGAAGGTTGGGAAGCCTAGTCCATCATTATATGGCCAAGGCTAGGGTCTCAACACATGCTAAATGGAAAATTCCACAAGGTAATCACTGTTCTCATTCCCATTTCCCAAGCACATAGAGTCTCAGAAGGGGAAGAGATCTAATCAAGGTCACACAATCAGCAAATGGCAGGCCTGGGATTTGAACCCAGGATGCTGTTCTCGGCTGGACAAGCATTCAGTCGCTAAGTGACATCCCAAATCAGAGAACAGAGGATCTTGGGATGCAGGAGGATACTCATAAGCAAATGCTAGTATCTTTTGATAAAGACTTATGATCAGGCAGAGAAAATAGGGCTCATTTAGCTTAAAAGTATTGCCCATGGGGCTAGAGAACTGGCTCAGGGGATAACATGTTTGCTCATGCCAGTGTGAGGAGTTGAAGTCAAATCTCCAGCACCCACAAACCACAAGGCACAGTAGTGAAAGCCCAGGCCTGGATAGACAAAGACAGGGGAAACTTTGGGACTCAAGGGCAAATCAATTTAGCCAAATGGGTGAGCTCCAGGTTCAATAATAGTAGACAGCAACAGAGGAAAACACCTAGCATTGTCTTCTGGTCTCCACATTCGTGTGCATGTATGTGCATGTGCACCCATGTTCATGAACACATGCATGCACCACACACATTAAGGAAGGAAGAAAGGAAAGGAAGTTTTTTCCAGGGCTGGAGATGTGGCACAGACCTACAGGGTTTACCTAGTATGCAAAAAGGTCGAGTTTATTTCCAAGCACTAAAATAAGTTTTTTAAAAAATGTGTTCAACTTCTTAATGCTGCAACATTTTAATAAAGTTTTTTTATGTGGTGACCCCAACAATAAAAATTTCTTATTGTTATTTTTTTTAAAAATGTGTTCAAGGTCTGTCATTTTGAGAGGGGTAGCACAATCTCAGAATCACCAGCGCTAAATGTCCCTTACCAGCCCAAGCCAGTCGCTGCTCCTCCTCTGCCTGTTCTCCCTTAGCCTCCTCCAAGAACTCTTCCAGAAGCTTCTCTGCTTCCCTGGCTTCTGCCCCTCCTGGGGCTGCCCAGCCCAAAAATATTAGGACATTTCCCAGGTTCTGATGGGCAGGGGGATCCCAGAAGTCCTGAGGATGATCTCGCAGCCAAGAACCGAGTACCGAAACCACAGCCCTGAATGGAGCAAAATGTGTGGTTCAAAACCGAGTCCAAGGACCTAGACTTTCCCAACCTCGCAGCAGACAGCCCTGACCTTGAAGTCCCTTCCCCCACGCTCCCTTGGGCCGGGGGGGGGGGGGGGGGCTGTGGGGATGGAACCAACCTCAGATTCTTGCTGAAGCTCAGATCCTGTGCCTCTGCCCTCTTGCTGTCTACCCTGGGAAGAAAAGCCTCTATCAGATGGTGACGAAGCTATAGAGCTTTTAAGACCTGTGCTCTGGGGTCCTAAATCTGGGGGCGGGGGGCGCAGAAGGGGTTCTGAAATGGGGACCTGAGAGTCTCCTGAGAATGACTGACCCAGGAGGTGGTGGTGGCGGCGGCGGGGGTAGCAGAAAGCCCAGAACGCGCGCTGTGGGCACAAAGGCCTGGTGTGTGGCCAGGAAGGCAGGCACGAAGCCAGGATCCTGTTCACGGTCTCCGGACACCAACTCATGTACCAGCCGCTCCAGTCGGGCGGCTCTCAGCGCCCGCACCTTGCTGGTGCGGTACTGGAGGAAGGTGTCAGCAACCGGGGTGGGAGCCTGCAGTGGGGGGGGGGGGGGAGGCCCGGGGGCGGTGGATGGAATAACATGAGAGGTGTCTCAAGCACCTTGTTTCCACCCACACCCGTCGCTGGCACCTCTTTTGCTTCTGACTGTGTTCATTTCTGAAAATCTGCGACTCCATCAAATGCCCACATCAACCCCGTACGACAGACACTCCACACTCTAAGCACTGCCTTCTGTTCCCTCCTCACCGGGCCACCCTAGGCTTCAGTCAGCCTTGCAAACTCGCTTCACTGGCCAAGCCTCGGTCCCACCCCCCACCCCCCCACCTTACTGCTCCCCCTTTCAGATTTCCTGCACCGTGCCGGTCATTTTACCTCTCCGGACGCGCTATCATCTGGCCCCACCCCCATTTCCTGAATTTATACCCAGTCACCTGAACGTCCCCAGGTCCTTTCCACTCACCTGGTCGCCTCTAAGCTCCGCCCTTCCTCCTGGTCCCGCAGCTCTTAGCTTTTGCCTCTCCTCTGAAGCCCGGGTTGAGCCCGCCCTTACTGCTCACCTCCAGCCCCTTCCGCACCTGGTCGTCTCCAGGCCCCTTTGGGGTCGAGCGCTGGCTGCGCTGCCGACGCAGGGAGACGTTGTACACGGCGCCGTCCTCAGTTTCCTCGCCCCAGTCTTGCAGAGGCGCCTGGATGTGGAGGCGGGCTCAGAGTAGTGACCCCACCTTTGCCCTGGCCTGTAAGTTTGGGCCTCTTTCCCGAGCAGAGTACTCGAGACTCTTGGGTGGGATCCCAGGTGGGTCCCTCTGCGCCACAGATACCCTCCTCTTAGGTCTTGAATGTATGGGGTATCATTTGGGGACACTCCATAGTCCAATGTCACAAAGAATCTTTTTGTCTCTTCCTCCCGAGATAGGCTCAGACCCCGGTCCCCACCCCACAAACCAGCCGCGTCGCGGGGTCAGGAAGTGTGAATTCCCAAGTGGAAACTCCAGGGCACATCCATTTGGCAGAAAGGGTTAGAAAACGAGGGGTGGATATCCGGAGTTTCTGAATCTGGGGGTACACCAGGGACGTGGGGTCTGAGGATTCCCCAGCTCCCTCTTACCAAGGCCAGCTCTCTGCTCGCTGTCCTTTGCATGGCCCCGATGCCCGTCCTGCTCTCTGGCGCCGCTGAGTGAGGCGGAAGGGCCAGCAGGAGCGGGCAGTGGGGCGGGGCGGCCGCGCGTCCAGTCGCGGGGCGGGGCTGGGCAAGGCGGTCGCAAGGCTCCAGAGGTCCCCAACCGGACCCTGGCTCTTAAACCAACGCAGAAGTCCGAGACCTCCCCAAAGGTGTGTCAAGCTGTCACCCTGAGCGTAAGATATGAGTGTACGGGGGACGACGACAGATTTGTGTCCCGGGTGGGAAGTTCTTTGTGTTCAGTTGGAGTTGATCAGCCCCAGGTGTAGGGGTGCCCCTATGTCTGGAGGGGAATGAGGACACACTGAATTTGTATCACAGGTGATGGGAGCCCTATTGTCTCTGGCTGGAAGCTACAAAGTGTCTGTGGCCCTGCATTTTGTGGGGTCAGCCGATGAGGGGCGGTGCATGGCCAAGAAGAGGTGAATACCCAGGGGGTTGATCTGTGACCTTTATTGCGCTATTCTGAGGCGGGCTCTAACCCGCCTCAAGAGATTTACTGTGGGAACTTCTGGCTCAACCTTTCTTCTCCTCCGGGGGCGCTGCTGGCCTGAGGTGCTCCCACGCCAAGCCTCCTTCCGCCCTTGAAGGAGCCTCGGGGGCTTCCCCACACCGGTAGGTAGCTCCAGAGGGTCGGAGGGCTCCCTAGAGGCCAGGAAGCATCCGAAGGGATGTGACTGCCAGTCTAGGACCTGCGCGACCTAGTGCGCTTCTTACTGCGGGCTTCGATTAACTTCTGGGAATGAAGCTTGAAGGCAGCGCGGGTCACCACATCACGGTCCTCCTCCTCACTCTCCTCTTCATCTGCAGGGAAGCATGGTGGGTGGGAGGGTAGGAGGTCGTTTCTTTCCCCTTTCCCAGACTTTACCACACCATGCACTTCCTCTTTGGCCTTGACCTAAGGCCACCTCGTGCCCCTCCCATCCATCTCCCTTTGGCGCACACTGACCAAAGAACTTGTCCTTGACACTGGCAACGGGCAGAAGGATGCGGGTGTTGTAGTGGGGCAGTTTTCCTTCTAACGTGGCCAGGAACTACAGGAGGCAGGAGAGAGGTGTGGGGACTGAAGTGAAGCTGTTCCTCCTCCTACCAAACTTCCAGATAGTGCCCAGGTTCTAGGAGAGACCACTGTCCACTCTCCTGCATACTCCTTCCCAGCAGGCCTGTCTCTGGACCCTGCCCATAGACCTGTCTGGAGTCATCCCAGGTTCTCCAGTCCTGCCATCTGATCCAACCAGTCCCAGCTTCTCTTCTTTGGATGTGAAGCTCACACCTCCATCCCCACCTGCTGCTCCTATCTCAGTGTGCCCTCTGGCTCTCCACCCTGCCCCCAGCCTTGGTCCTGTTGGTGCACCTCTCGTTCTGTGATGTGTCGCAGCATCTCTGGTATGTCACGACTCTCTGCTTGCCCCTGTAGTTTCAGCAACTTTTCCTCGACAAGGACCAGAAGATCGGACACATAGCCCTCTGTGTCAGGGTCTAACTTCTTTCCTGCCAAAAGGCTATTCTCCTGCAGTGGGGGATAGGCTAAGTTAGCTGAGAGATGCGGGGTGCCTGCGAGGGGACAGGCTTCACCCACGAGTGGGGCTTTTCCCCAGGAGGGGAGAGCTTTGCAAAGAGTCCATTCACAGGCAGGTCCTCTAAAATTAAAGCCTCGCCTTGAAGTCGGAGCTTTTGGACTAGAGCTCTATACAAAGGATGGGAGGTCTCTTTAAGATTATACATGAGCTCTGCCATTGTGAGGGCGGCTTTCTAAAAAGCTGGCGCTCTTGCAGACAGGGTGGGACTTTCTTCACAGGAATCTGGAGAAGGGCTGTTTAAGTTTTGGGGTGGGGATGGGGATGGTTGGCTTTGCGCATGGAGTCAGCTTTAGGCTGAGCGAATGAGGACTTCCCCAGGAATGTGGAACCCGGACAGTGATGCCTGGCGTGAAACTTTCTTCCTTAAACGAAGTCTGACACTCTAGGCAGGAGTCAGGGCTGAAATCCTATGGCTTGTGTGGCACCTCTACTCAATCTGATGTTCTGGGAGGATGAGGGCAGGGCTGCCAGAGATGGGGTGGGGCTTTCTGTAGTGGGGCCTCCCAGGGACTGTGGCTACTGGAGCGGAGCTCCTTGGGTGGAGCTCCCAGGGGCGGAGCATCACTAGGGGTAGATCTTGGGGGGGGGGGGCGACCTACCACTGTCACGTGGTTCACTTTGCTGGCCAAGTGCTCCAGGCAGTCCTTGGCCAACTGGAGAGTTCGCAAGGTGCGATCCAGTTGCTCCTGGATGACGTTGCGTCGCTGCTCCTCCTTCTTGAGTGTCTCCTGCATCGAGTCGCGGTGCCTCCGCTGACTGCCGGGAGCCGGGAGGTTCAGCAGCTAACAGGCGGCTGACTCCAGCGTCCCCCAGGCCTCCCTCAGCTACTGAGGTCTCACCTCACCAGCGTGGCATCCCCGGAGTACTTGAGGTTCTCCAGCTCTCTCTGGAGCCGCTGCTTCTCCTCCTTCAACCTCACCAACGTCTGTTCGTTGTCCTTCTTGAGAGTCTCTAACTGCGTGAAGGTCTCATCCTGGGCCAGGAACCTTCGCACCACCGCCTGAGGGCCACCCATCCCTGGTCAGAGCCTGGGTCAAGGGAGGCTCGAGGGCGATCTGACTCTAACAGGGTCACACAGCCACGTGTAAGGAGGATTGTGTGGGTCAGTCTGCCGGCTGTTTCAAGGCTATACTTTTCCCCACGCCCTTTCCTGCCTATGTTTGAGTCAGCTAAAATCAGCATGCGGGAGGCAGCAGAGTGGTGAACAGCTTTCAAAAATCCCTGTGCCAGCAAGTTCTGGGTGGGTATCTGGCCCAACAGCACAAAGATGCTGCGCCTTTAGGGTGCGATCAGGCCTCCCGGCCATTTGTGCATGTGTGTGCCACGGCACACATGTGGATTTCGGAAAGCAACTTGGAAGAGTCTACTCTCACTTTCCACGCACCGGGCCCAGGGATGGAACTCGAGTTGCCAGGCTTTTACCCACCAAGCCATCTCACCAGCTTGGGACCCACTTCGGAAGGGGTTCCCGGACTGGTGAATGAGTTCACAGCTGACCTCCAGCGAGAGCCCGGATTGCCTGGGAATTAACCTCTTTCCAGGGGTAGCTGGATACAGAGAACCCAAACTGGAGAAACTGACTGGGTGTGTGGGGGTCAGTATTCTAAAGCAGGACCAGGCACTGGAGGGAGACACACAGGGTCTTGGCAGACAGCATGACTCCTAACAAGACTGACACAGAGCAGGGCTGGGATTCCAAGGTTAGGGGCAATACTGGGAAGTCCACTGTATTCTAGATCATTCCACAACAGTGATGATCTGAGAAACAGGACCTGAAAAATAAAGCTTCCAAAACTGACATACCAAACAAGTTAGCACAGTGGAAGAATGGAAGAAATTAAGGGCTGATGTGGACAGCTCCGCCATCGTGGGAGCCTTTCCTGGCTCACATGTAGGCCTGGGGCACTCACATGCGATTCAGCCACTCCAGTGGCATCCTTGACCTTGCCAAACATCACTTCCATCTGATACATGCTCCAGCGCTGCTTCAGCTCCTCCTCCTTGTGCCGCTGGTAGTCCTGAATGGTATCTTCTGACTGCAGTAGGACATGCTCTCGGTGCGTCTGCTTGAGGGTTGGGGACAGTCAAGGCTACCATCAAAGTCAATTCCAAAAAGGGCTTGGGGCAGAGGTCAGGAGAGGATCCGGCTTAGCTTGGATTGTGGGGAACAGTCTAGATATGGTTATCCCTGCAGGACTCAGAGAGGTGGCCTCAGAATCAGAGGAAGGAAGCAGGGTCATAGAAGGAGTGGCCTCCAGAAAAGGTGGGCTAGAGCCCCAGTCGGATTTAGAACAAAAGCGTCCAGATTAAATGGGGCAGGATGAGTAGAGATTCAGACAGTCAGGGGAGGGCTGGAGGCCGCGGCCTCTCCCAGGAAAGGAGGATGAGGTGAGATTGTTCAAGGAACCAGTTGAGTCGAGTGGGGGGCGAGGTCAGGGAGAGGGCGGGGTTAGGACAATGAGAGGAGCAGGGCGGGCAAGGCTGAGGCTGTCTTGTCTGAGCTGGCCAAGCCCTGCACCCTTAGGTGTGCACACCTTGCGCTCCATGCGCTCTGTCAAAAGTTTCTTCTCTTCCACCCGCTTCTTGCAGTCCGTTATGAAGTATTCGCGCTTCTTGCGGTCTCGGATGGCAGTCTCCTCCAGGTACTGCAGCTGGCTCTAGGGCAGGCATGGGTACCTGGTATCTATCCAGGATGACGGGGTGGGGGGAGCATCCCCAGGCAATGCAGCAGCAGTACAACTCCTGGGAAAGACTCAACGACAACTGAACTCTGACTAGAATTCCCTGTGCCTTTGGCACTCCATTGCTATTTTCTCTGAGTTGAACACTCCCTCTTAGAGGGAGAGGACAGTTCAAGACTCAGGAAGTCGGTGAAACTTACAAGGCTCAAGAAACAAGATTCACAAGACCCCTCCCCAGGTTACAATGGATAGGTGAGGAGACTTAGGAACGGAACTCTAGAGATGTGACTTTCACACCGTAACTCCTCAATCACGCTCTGTAAGGAAGCCCAATAAACTCATTGTTCTCCAAGTTAGACTTTGGTGGAGTGGTTGATGGTTTTTGATTTTTGTTGTTGTTGTTTTTGACTTTGTAGCCCTGGCTGTCCTGGAACTCTGTGTAGACCAGGCTGGCCTGGAACTCACAGAGATTCGCCTGCCTCTGCCTCTGCACACTAGTATTAAAGGTGTGTGTCATCGCACCTGGATGTGGTTACTGTGCTATATACCGTCCTATAATATTGGCAACTGTGACAGAGCCCCCCACCCCACCCTGGGGCGGTAGATTAGTACCTTGGCGATGTCCCGGGCATTTAGAGCCTCTTGATTCACCACTTTCAGTTCTACTACCTCATGCTTGGTCTTCACCACCTCCGCTTCCATGGAGTCCAGCCGGTTCTCCAGGTTGAGACTCTCCTCCTGGCACATGGAGAGGGAAAACTTGAGACT